AGTTCCATAACCAATTGCGTGGTTAAATCTCATTTTTATAGAAAAAAAAACATAGGTTTTCATCTAAACCCTTGATTTTCACTAATTTTTACATATTAATCTACCCATAATCTATGTATTTAACTCATGTTGTGTAGGAATTACTTACCTCAAAGTGCTAGGTGAAAACTCTCTTCCAAAAGATCCAAAAATCGCCCAAGAGATGAAGTGAAATGAAATATATGGCCTAAGTCCTGCATTAAAAGAGTTGGGCACAAGCCTCTGATATCGCATTTGCGACACTAGGTTCGCAAATGCGACAAAACACTCGCAAATGTGAAGCATGACTTCAGCTGCTCAGGTCGCAAATACGACGCAGGGGTCGCAAATGCGATCGTTGTTGAGGTTGCAAATGCGGCTCAGGTGTCGCAAATGCGAACAATGCCCCAGTCGAGCTTCTTCCCAATTGCGAAGCTCCTCTCGCAAATGCAAGGTTCGCATTTGCGAGACCTGCAACTGATGCCAAGAAACACCAGAAACCTGGTGTGTTTTTCATCCCTTTCAAACATTCGAAACTCACCCGTGCCCTCGGGGCTCCACACCAATCACCCACACAAGTCTAGCAATATCTTACAAACTTGCTCGTGCGATCGGAACACTGAAATAACATCAAAAACCATGAATTGGACGCCAAAACGTATGAATTTACTCATGAACTCCAAAAGCTTCTAAAACACTTCCGCGCGTCCGATTCCTATCAAATCTACATTCTACTAGAACGCCCACATACTTGTGACACCAGGTCTTGGCACACACTATTAGACTTATGATTATGGGTTTGTTTACATGATTACGATTTGTACTCATTGTTTCCATTGTTTAATTATGTTACATTTGCAAATTTTTAAATCTTTTTAACAAATGAGAAAATGTTATCAGCTTAATAAGTTATTTAAAATCGGAAAACCACTAGGTTGATCAGTGTTGGCTTGCCTAACAACAGCGTTGGGTGCCATCACGACCTATAATGGAATTGGGTCGTGACAACGGAGTATCGAAAGGATAAGCTTATTGTACCAGGTATGAATAATTTTCTATCGGGGGTAATGTTTATCAATAACCGAGTATCGAAGTGATAAGCTTCTTGAGAAGGCTTATTTCCAATAGAGTACTAAATAGATAAATATATTTACAGTGGAGGATATGATTCTTTAGGAAGCTTATTTACAACGGAGTACTAAATGAACATCCATAATATAATATATTTATAACACTCCCTCTTAAATATTCATTAAAAGATAATGTGTCTCATTAAAACCTTACTAGGAAAAACTCCGTGGAAAAAAAAATTAGTAAAGGAAAAAGAGTACACATATTTAATTTGTAATACGCATTGTTGGGTGTCTCATTAAAAAATAAAGACATTTATTACAACTTTTAGCCTTGTGGTACTAATGGAATACAAATATCAAACAACAGAAAAATGGATAATATTATTTGCATGTTATAAAATAACATAACACAAACTTTAATTATCAATACCATATTGATCTAAACGCGTGACTAATAATTTATATCCCAACAGATATTTCCACCACTTACGTTGTTAATGTTCAAGCATAAGCTACTCAATCTACTAACTCAAGGGCACCCCCGATAAGGAGATAAAAGTAGTGAAGATCTCTCATATTTTAATGAAAAGCATTGGAGGAGAAGAAAATTATTTGGGAGCTGTAGTACCGAGTTCATATGCCTCCAGCATTTTTAGACACAGAGCAAAAAGATATATGTCAAAGTCACTGAATTTTTGTAACTGATTTATAAATGTGATTTTAAAACTAATAAGTTCAATATTAAAACCCAAAATATTGAATCCAATTAAATCAGGAGCAGTGTCAAAAATTGAGAGTTGGAAGCTCGTTTAGTAATAAATAAATCAGACATAAGATTAGTAATTCTGTTATCGTCCAGCGGTTAGGATATCTGGCTTTCACCCAGGAGACCCGGGTTCGATTCCCGGTAACGGAAATAGGCATTTTTATGCCTGTTTTTGTTATTTTTGGTATTATGCATGTACATGTTTCCAATTAATCTCTTTTGGCTTTCCGTGGTCATATAAATGCATATATTTTGGACTCTATTTTTGGTATGGCATTTCACAACTTCAATATATCTTCTATCTTGTGATTTTTATCAACAAGAAATTTGTCAGACTCTGTTAAGAGTATATTAGCTTACCTTGGCAACAATCTCGAGCGAAATATTAAACTAGTTGAGCTAGAATTAACACAAGCTGATTGAGCTTGCTTTTCTTTTTCTTTTCTTTTTAAAGAATGGGTAGTACTAGACTTTAGCTTAACCCTAAATAATATTGGGTTGTTGCCAATGATATGATTGCTTTGTATTACTCACTAAAGAGCATAGCTTAATAGATAATTAATCTGGTATAACTATGCAGAATACATGGTTGATGTGGAGAATGATCTTGCATGTATACATTTCTCAGTTTGCATAAGCTAAATTGGCTGTATTCATATGTCCTATATTGGACTGTTTTATCACAAAAGACCATTTTCCTAGATTTATATCACAAAAAACTGTTACTTGTCCTCTAGAACATTAGATAACATGATTAAATTAATCTTGGCCTATATGCTTTGAACTACTTATCTTGCCAACATCTCTTTTACATATATACTTCTGATCATGATTTATCAGAGAGCAAACTGGCTCGCGGAGGTGGGATATGTTGGAAAGAATGAAGGGATTAGATGGTTAGGGAATTTTTGAGAAGCATTAGGATTTGGAGGGGGAGTTTCAAATTAAAGAGGGTGTTTGAAATTCATGGAAATGAATAGTATTTGTCATTTTGTGAGGATCAAAACCATGAACCCGACCTTTTGCTTGTTGAATGTGAGCATAGGTTCCAATGTAATGAACAGGGATATTGTACAAGGAGATGAGCCGAGAGAGGTGGAGAAATTTGTTGAGATGGCCTTGAGCAGGTAGTGGTACCATGCAGAGGTGCAGGCGCCGAGCGAGAGTGCCGACTATGGGTGCGGCCGAACCCACTAGTTTTGATTAAAACCATATATTTATCTTAGAAAGCTCATTGAATATGTATAAATTATTAATTTAGAATTCAGTAACTTAAAAGGATTCGCCTCCTGAACTCATAAGCTTGAAATTCTGTCCCCGCCTCTACAGAGGTGGACCCAGGATTTTAACGCGACGGGGGCACAATAGTTTGTTCAATTAGTGCTCCCTAAAGGCTTTTAGCGTTCAGGGTGCCAAGTGATTTGATTTAACCATTTTTAAGGTATACATATATACATATACAAAAAATTTATTGAAGCTTACGAAGTCCAGTGACCCCTCGATATAACACATAGGTCCGCCTCTGATACCATGACTTATACCATATTGGCCATGCCTTTTTATGGTGCATTTTCAGCAATTTGGAAGTGTTGTCTGATTTAAGAGAGGAAGAGAAAGATTAGAAAAGAGAATCTTTGAACTTGCTTGCAAATTTTAAGTGTATATATATATATAATGTATTATTGAACTCTAGTCACATTAAACATAGTGATGAAATATATTCTTTTCCATGTAGGAAGTCAGAATGGTTGGTACCAATCCAATACTATATAATAATGAAGACAATTACAAGCTAACGGCTTTCTCAATTTTGTTAATGATTTTATATATGAATATGATTAATGTCCTCCTGGCCAATCAATACCAATACTGTCAAACAGAACACGACAACAATACATATGGAGAAACTATTCTGAATTATACATCTCGAGTGGAAGGATGAGGCTATGGTGAAATGATTTGTCTTTTTCAACATCATTTAAAGACGAAAAATATGAATTCAGCTTAAAAAGTTATCGCATGCTTCTTTAACTTACCTAGAGCTTGAACTTGGAATCGTGCATTGACAACAATTAATTAGTGAAGAACTCAATTGTGATTGAGTTTAAACTAGCTTCTTCTTTTTTTAACATTAGATTTTTTTTCACGTCAATCCTCTGATTTTAACATGGCTTGTCTAATTTACTCTGAGACTAAATCCTGATATTAATGATTGGCAGCAAAACTTCTTTTTTTAAATAAGGAAGACAAAAGAGAGAAAACAACCACTCCTTACGTTCCAAATTATATGAATTCATTTGACTGTCCATGAAATTTGAGAAAGAAATTAAGATTTTTGGAATTTATGGTCTTAAACATGTCATCGCATTTATGTTTAATTTTTTTTTAATTTTAAAAAGTTATTCTTTTTTAAGCAAACTAAAGGGGAAATAAATTCATATAAAGTGAAACCGAGGAAGTATTAGCGATGGGTCATAATTGATGAAATATAAGGACCATGAAATCGTAAAACCAAAGTGAGGTCATAACTGAATGAAAAGATTAGAGAAATTGTTACCCAGAGGTACCAAAAGCTAGACAAGAGATTTCAACAGGATTTGAACAAGAGTTAAGGAATACACTTACATCAAGGAATTCTAAAATTATTTGAATTTCTATATTATTACGTATTTATTAAAATCGCATGCGGCTTATTGTAAAGGGAGAACATGTGAGATGTGAACAATAAGGGTCGTTTGGTTCGGTGCAAGAATATCGTAACATTATAATCTCACATCTTATATGGGTAGATAATACTAAATTACGAGATAGCAATCCCAAATTTTATTAGGTAATTATGTGTCTTAATGGGCCCCAATGTGTCTAAATTTTACTCGTGGGGCATTTACATCTATACTTGCTTTTTGTAGTACGTTTTAACTTGTGCCTGCTTTGCAAAAAAAATTACAAGCGTACCCGCTTTTTCTACTCTATTTACCAAAGCTTAGGGAGATAGTCGAATAACATCAAGCTTAGGCAAATGAAAAGAAATCACCTAACATGTTTTCTACTGAAATGTGAATGGGGTTCAATTGAGTACACTGACTTTTCCTGTTAAACTAAAAGAGGAATAAGAAACTGCTGGGCATCATCCAAGACCATCGAAAGAGGCAACCCGGAGTGCACAAGAGAAAGATACACTAAAAGCATGACAGCATATATATACCTACTCCTAACTAATACTATGGAATTCATTTTCAAAGTTCAGTCTCAAATATTTTCCAGATAGGCAAATAATCTCAAGTATATCAGAGATTTATGAAAATTTAGAAAGTGATAAGGAATTGAGAAGAGAGCTTCCCCAGCATCCTAGTATACTTAAATCACCCTTACTGCTGTAGCGAACATGGCAATGCTCGTGATCAGACTTGCATTTTAGCCGTCTCCATTTGGTGCTTCAATCAAACACTAATGCTTATTAAATTCTCAGGCTGCAAAATTGAACAGTGATGGCTACTACATCAACTACCTAGGCTCAACTTGTTACTTTTTTCTTGACAATTCTTTTTCTCCGAGCCTTAGGAGCTGCTGTTTCACCCTCAGAAGCCGAGTCAGTCTGACCCTGTTTGATCCCAAGAAGGCCAAGCCCGGAAACTATGGCATTCTTAGATATCAACCATTTTGAAGAAGGCTGTTCAAGACCCTCTGTGGGTCGACTATAAGCCTTCAAGATGTCGTCTGAATGGGCCAAGGGATCCACCTCCACACCAAGCCAAGCTAGTCTTGATGTCTCTCCAACTTGAACATTCAAAACCCTGCATACATTTGAATGATTATTAAGAAGAAAAAATCAAATCCAACGAGCACCAATTAACCCTCTAAATCTTAAATTTCTCCATAACGAAGGGTAATCTAGTTCTAACGGACACTAAGATGGTGCAGAATGTGCAAACATTAAGCTCTGCCAGAAGAATCAACAAACACTATAAGCATGAAGCATAAACAGCAATTTACACCAATTGCTTTATTTTATGTACTAAAGCATTAAAACTTTTTCCCAAAAACGTGTAGCAAACTTGGATAAGCTGCTTCAGAATGGAGCATACTCCTAGTTTCTCTACTCATAAGATTACATCATTTGGAATTTTTCCAGTATATCATTTTTGTGTTAATGTGGCAAGAAGATTCTTATTCTCTAAGCTCTGTAAGCTTATATGTACTATCCAAACATGAAACTCTAGTTGATAAATGAAGTTTGCACTTGTTGAAAAAAAGGAAAGGCATATGCTACCACCATTTATTTACTGACTGTATACCTCAGGGCAGTGCTGAAGAAGAGAGCCACTCCAATAACATCAAAGTGGTTAACTACAGCTCTGTCAAATCCACATAAGAGCTGATAACGAAGGTTCGCATAAAGACCAAGAAAGGCACCATAACCAAGTGCATTACTGCTCACAGATGGGATAGTCACTGACAACCTAGCAAACAATAGTAGCAAACGAGATTTAGACTGGAACATAAGGTGTCGTCAATGGTATTTTACCTTTATAAAAAGAGTTAAATGGGAAATTAAATTGCCCAATACGCCAACCAATATCTACCTTCCCTCCTTTTTAGTGGCAACAAGGTTTGATAGAGCCCCTTGGACAGCTCCCGCAGTGAGTCCAACCATACAGAACTCTGCAGACTTATAGAAAAAGGAATGAATTCTCTTCTGCAAGTCAAATTCTCTTAGTGGATAACTCTTTTCAAAGATATTGTTTGGAAGCTTCTGTATCGTGTTTTGCAAATCAAAGTGGAATGTGTTTCCATATGAGCGACAAGGAGCAAGCGACCAAACAACAATAGCATTGCAAGCCGTTACAGTAAGCACATTAAGAAGGGCAAGATCCCACTCATGCTTTATCCTAGATCACAATAAAAAAAAAAACATGTTTGTTTAAAATCCTGCATGAGGACTTTTTAATGAGTTTTATTTCCTTGAACTGAACAAGTATACCTCTCCTTACGGTTTTTGATCTCCCACCAAACTGAACAACCAATTGTACTGGCCTGCTCTAGAAGCAGCTTGTACAAAAATGCCGGATCTGCAATCTTCCTGTGTGAAAGATTCATAGAAAATCAGGCAACTAGAAGCATCAATCTAAATCTGCATAAAAACTTTGAGTGGCCAAGACATCGATAGACAGAAGAGCAGTATATACTACCAGAATCTCAAAAGCTTGGAGGTGCCAAAGAACTCCCCTTTCAATATTCTAATACTGAGGGAAGGAGGGTGAGGTTTATTCAGACTCAGCTCCGCTATTACACAAGCCAAGCTTGGCTTATTCAAGCTCAAGCTCGTCTCAAGAAATTATTTTTAACCTTCAAGTTTCTGAGCTCCTTTGTGAGCTCAGTCCATTATGCAGATATCTATTCTTTTCCCTTTTTCCCCTTTCACACAGTAAGCAACTAATGGTCGAAATCAATTTGACATCATTTATTCTCAGTAACTTCAACAATGGTATCAAGGACAGGAAGGTTATATTGCACAGCTATAAAAAGGTTTTTGAAACAAAAGCCATCCTGTTGGAGAAGAGCGGGACTGCCCTCTGCTCCGTGAAAGTGTTGAGATCGCATAACTTCTTTAAAATGGGTTCACTGCTGTCATGTTCAGAGATAATTACCAAAATTGTAGAATAAAGGAAATACACTATAAGAATACTGAGGATAGCGAGAGGGCAAGCGAGAGATAGTCCAAGAACTTGTATATTAGAGTCAGAGAGGATGAGCTGGAGAGGAAAAGCCTGAAGGTGAGATGAAATGAGAAAGAGAGGTGGATGAGTAGACAGTTTGCATGTTTTGATAGCAAAACTTGACTCGCTGAATTCACATAAGAAATCCCCAACATGAACACAAATGAAATCACAAATTGCGAAGATCAGCCCGAAAGAAGAGTTGAGGAGCGAGGAGACTAGAGAAACCAAGAGAATTNGAGAATATCCATAAAGTCAGTTACATCATCTCCCCTAATAGTTCTAGAAATTACATATATTGAAATTACATAAAGTCAGTTACATCTGAGAATATCCATAAAGTCAGTTACATCATCTCCCCTAATAGTTCTAGAAATTACATATATTGAACCACACTATCAATGAGACTACTCTTACACCAAAGAAACAAATTATTCAAACCACTTATTTTTAACTCTAGCAATATGATATTTCTACCCATCAAAACAAGCTCTATTTCTCTATAGCCAAATAGTCCAGAATATTGATACAGCCATACAGGTATGGTTCTCCAAGTCTGTTTCAGTTCTCTCTGTGTCCTCTGATGCTGCCAGCTCTTCAATAATTCTTTAACACTCTGGGGCATGATCCATGAGATCCTACAGATGTTGAAAAAGAGTTCCCAGCATTGCCTAGTATATCTGCAGTGCAGAAGAAGGTGATTCACAGTCTCCATCTCTTCTCCACACAAGAAGCACCTATTACTTAATGCAAAACCCTCTTTTGAAGGTTGCTCTGGGTAAGACAGGCTTCCCTAGCTGCAATCCAACCCAAGCATGCTGCTTTTATAGGAGCTTTAGCTTTCCAAATCACTTTCCAAGGCCAGCTAGTATTCGAGTGACCTGCTTGTTTCTAGGTAGGCTGTAACAATTTCTAACAGTAAACTTCCTATCTTTACTCTCTTTCCATACTAATGAATACTATTTGTTTTGATCAATGTGGGTAGATTCCAATTGAAGGAGCAACTGGCAGAAATCTACTATTTCCCAATCATTCAAACTCCTTCAAAAACTCACCTGCCAACTTGAATTTGAATAAAATTCAGCCACAACCCCATCTTTGTTATTACAACAACTAAACAGATCCGGGAATTTTGATTTCAATCACTCATCACCAGCACACAAATCTGTCCAGAAACTAATCTTACTTCCATTGCCCACCTCCAATCTAGTAAGCTGCTTAAACTCTTCACAAAATTTGTAGATTTCTTTCCAAACTCCCCCTCTGGCGTACATACTTTTAAAGTGGAGGATTCCAGCCTTGTTTGTTCCCATGAATAGCTTCAATTATTTTAACCCAGGTTGTTTCTGCTTCCCTGCTAAATCTACAGAGCCACTTAAGAAGGCATACTTTTATTCTCTAGTCTCAAAATTATAACCCCCAAACCACCTCCTTTCTTTCGTCGCTTCGGTGAATCACTTGAGCCCTGATACATTTTCGGTGCCATGGAGCTAGACCAGTGAGCTATTACGCTTTCTTCAAAGGATGGTTGCTTCCAAGCCCACCTCCTGGTTGTCATCGCTCGATCACTTCCTTTTCCACTAAGTGATTGCTTAGGGACCTTAGCGTACGATCTGGGCTGTTTCCCTCTCGACTTTGGATCTTAGCACCCAAAAAGTGACCAGAAAATTTAGATCTAGACTTAACCAATTAGATTTTCTAATAAAATGGAGTTAATCTTAGCCAATATTAATATCCAAAAGATGTGTTAACCGATTTTGTAGCGAGATATCACGGATATTACTTGAGTAGTAATTTAATGACTACAATAATGCAATATTCAATCATCCAAAAATAAAGGAGGTAGCATTAAATAACAATAAATAGCAATGAATGGCATTTATGTAAATAAAGCATGTGAGTCACGAAAAAGTTGAGATTCTTTGATATTCTTCCTGACAACGATAAATGATTGATAAGCCTTTGAATATTCGAATTCTTCTTGGATCGTGGGAGAAAAAGTTAGATAAAGATCTGAAGAAAATGTGTATTTTGTATGATAGAGCAAGAATCTTCAAAGAATGTCAATGTGTTATTTTTACAATGAGTGTCCTATCCCCTTCTATAGCTACATATCTTTCTATTTATAAGGCACATGGACCACAAAAACCCTAATATTACAGATTGGAGGAATATCCACTAGAATATTTTGTTTAAAGTCTTATTTCTAAAACTAGCCGTTACTACTCTGATAAAGGGAGTACTCGTCCTCGTGCTCGACCTCCGTTGGGTCCTCGAGCTCGCCTTCATCCTTCGTTGACATCAGATTGATGACACGTGGCAGCCTTCGAAGGCTTCCTTAATATTGATTAAGCTCACATATAGTTATGATAATTTTTAGCCTATACAGTTAGTCCTTCCGCTTGTTGAGGTCATCTTCGTGGACGAGTTCAATGAGCGGATAACAGCGGCCATGATCGCTGTGATAAACAGGCGACATGGCTCTTTGTAGACTGAATATTTCAAAACCTTAAATTTCCCCGCTGGAACCATCTAGTCCAAGAAACGAAGTGACATCAAGACGTCATGATGATGGCGAATCCTGACGCATTGCGTGGATTCACGCGTGACCTTTGATTGGTTCTGTCGTTCCGATTCTAGTGCCAATTATGATGAACTGTTTCGGGTTTGGTGCCTTAATCTCTATAAATAGAGATTGCTTCCTCATTGTTCAAACTTTACTTCCTTTCATACCATCCTTGCTCTACGTAAATTCCATTATTTATCTTGAGTCTTCCTTGCCTCCTAAACCTTAACTTTCTTTCATACTCTCATCTTCTTATAAATCGCATAACCATGTCTAACTTTTCTTCTAATGTTGATGAAGAAAGCCATGCCATTACTTTGGCTGTTGTATTCCCCGTTCATGGGGGGCAACCGTCGCCGCCGCAAAAGACGAAGCTCTTCCTTCAGTGGAGGGGATCAATCTCCGCGACCCTAATGCTAGGTCCAATTTTCAACGGTCGCCGGAGGTGATGACCGGAAAGTTTCAAGTGTCAATGACATCCGGGCACTTGGCTGAATTCAAAGCTAAGTTTGGCCTTCCCAACCATGTGGAATTAACCCATGTTGGCGAGGACAAAGTGCACGTTCAACATCTTGGGTATTGCGCTCTTTATGCCTACCCATTCACCATCGGCTACTCGTTCCCCCTTCTCTCGCTGGTGGAGGAGTTCTGCCGCCACTATAGCGTTTTCCCGGCTCAGCTCGCCCCTTTTTAGAAGGTGATCAAGATGCTATCAAAGTTTGCTGAACTTGCCAGGGTCGAGGTCACGATGCGACATTTGGTGCATCTGTTCGCGCCTAGCTTCTACAGAGGGACGATGTTGAACTTTCGACATCATGGGGAAAATGCTTGGTGGTGAAGATGGACGATAAGAGTAGTCGGCAGTTCTGGCTCGACTACTTCTATGTCAAGTCTGAGGTCATTGCGGCTGATGTCGATGGTTTCCCCGAGGCCTAGAACCATACACGTAAGTGTTCGTGTTTTTTGCTTTCATCCTTTTAGGTACTTTGTTCATTTCAAATTAGTCGAGTAACTCTTCTTTTCCTATAGCCACTAGTCGTCCTCCTCCTTTGGCGACACACCTCGCTGACTGGGTCAGGCAGGTTCTCCCTTATACCGTGGGGATTCGCGATTGGCCGAGCTTCTTTTTAAAGTACAAACTGGCCCTCCCTTTGACATGTAATCTCCTTATTCTGGTCGCTATCATATTGTGTATTGGCTTGTGCAGTTGTAAAATTTTACGCTTCGTTCTTTTTTAGGCTCAGTCAGGGGGACTACTAGAAGAAACAGGGCGCTCGTGCCCATGTTTAGGAGGATAAAAACTGTTGTGCCTTCCGTCTCCGCCCCCGTCTCAGCTACTGGTCTGACTCCTCCCTCGTTTTCACTCATCGACGAAGACGACGAAGTCTCTCCTCGTGACGGGGACCTAAGTCCCCGCAAAAGGAAGGTTGTGGACGTAGGGGGAGTTCCTCGGCCGTCGACTCAGTAGAAGATGAATTCTCGCTTCGGGAGACGGCGACGATCTACATCGGATATGATGTTGGGGCGACCTCCGAGGCCCCACAATTAGAAGAGGCTAATGAGGGTGTTCCCTCGCGTCCCGAGGAAGAGAAGGTTGTGGAGAGGACGTCTGGTGACAGCTCCGTGCCTGCAGGGCAAGAGAAGGCATTGTAAAAAATAACACATACTCTGAAGATTCTTGCTCTGTCATATAAAATACACCTTTTCTTCAGACCACAATCCAAGGAAAATCTGAATATTCAAAGGCTTATCAATTATTTATCGTTGTCAAGAAGAATATCAAAGAACCTCACCCTTTTCGGGTGACTCACATGCTTTATTTACATAAATGTCATTCATTGCTATTTATTGTTATTTAATGCTACCTTCTTTATTTTTGGATCATTGAATATAGCATTATTGTCGTTATTTATTACTACTCAAACAATATTCGTGATATCTCGCTACAAAATCGGTTAACATATCTTTTGGATATTAATATTGACTAAGATTAACTCCATTTTATTAGAAAATCTAATTGTTTAAACCTAGATCTAATTTTTTGGTCAAACAACAGTTATAGCGAATAAGGACATTAGATAAGAGGGCATACCATCTAAAACACTATTAATCAAAATGAGTTTGCCTCCAAATGATAAATATTGCTTCTTCCGGGGAACTAATATGTTGGCACATCTATCCAAAACCCCTTGCCAAATACTTTGATCGTTTCTTCTAACTCCTAGTGGAAATCCAAGATAGACTATGGGAAAGCTGTCCACCCAGCATCCTAAAATATCTTTTTTGATGAAGGCCAGCATCCTAAAATATCAGCCAATTAGCCAATACAATCATCAGCATTAATACCATAAGTAGCATTAATACAATAAGTACTGTTCTTTCCCAAATTCACTTTCAATCTAGAAGTTGCTTCAAAGGTCAGTTAAATTCCTCTAAGGTATAGAAATTGCTCCTTCTCTGCCTCACAGAACAAGAGGGAATCATCAGCATATAGAATGTGAGATAGCACCACACTGTCACTACTCTTTCTTCCAATCCTCAGCCCCTTGATCCAACCCAGGTCTTCAGCCCTCTTCAATACATGGCTCAGCATCCCCATTACTAAAACAAATAAATAAGGTGACACGGGGTCTCCTTGTCTCAATCATCTTGAAGACTTGAAATATCCATGAGGGGCTTCCATTGATTAAAATTGAGAATCTGACTGTCGAAATACAAAGCATAATCCAGTCAAGCCACTTATTTCCAAAATTCTATCATTCTCATGACATTAATTAGGCAAGACCAGTTAATGTGGTCAGAAGCCTTCTCAAGATCAAGTTTACAAGCAACACCTTTTTTTTCATTTTCAACAGATATACTCCACACTTTCATTGGCCACCAAAGTTGCATCTATTATTTGTCTACCTTTTATAAAGGCATTTTGATTGTGTGAGATTAGTTTGTCAATCACCATCTTCAATCTTTCCGCCAGTAGCTTAGCCAATATCTTATAAACACTGCCTAGAAGACTAATAGGCCTAAAGTCCTGCACTTCCATTGCTCCCTTCTTTTTTTGGTATCAAAGTGATGAAAGCCGAATTTAAGCTTTTAACAAAAGTACCCTTCTGATGAAAAGCAACCACAACGTTCCATACATCCTCTTTCACAGTATTCCGGCATTTTTGGAAAAAATAAAGTTGAAAACCATTCAGGCCTGGAGCTTTGTCACCACCAAAAGAGTTAAATATTGCTTCCATTTCTTCAAAAGAGAAGGGCCTCTCCAACCACTCTTTATCTTCTTCTGATAGTTTTTTCAGGTTTTCATCCTCCCAGGTAGGCCTCCATGTTTCAGATTCAGTAAAAAGACTTTCACAAAATCCCTGAATATGGTCCTTAATAATTTTATCACCCTCAACAAGATTCCCTTCAATCATTAGCTTGTCAATAGAGTTGAATATCTTATGGGCATTTGCTTGTTTGTGAAAAAAAAATTATATTTCTATCACCATGCTTAATCCACAAACATCTAGATTTCTGTCTCCAACTTATTTCTTCAGATTTTGAAATTTCTTCAAGCTCCCTTATGATAACTGATCTTTCAGCCTCCAATTGCTCATTATTCTGATTATTTCTTAACCTATGATCAACATGTTCCAATCTTTCTAGTGCCTTGTTCTTCCTCGTTTCTAGATTACTGAATACTTCTTTGTTCCACTTTTTGATGTCTGCCTTCAGTAAACTGAGTTTCTAAGCAAGGATGGCATCAGGATCCCCTTGAATATCATATGATTCCCACCAAGTATCTATCAATTCAGTGAAACCCTTGTACTGAAACCAAGTTTCTTAGAAAGCTATTTAAGTTTTTGAAAATAAATAAACCAACTGAGGTTTTTCAAACTCAGCTCGTTTAACAATTGAGCATAAACTGTGTGAGCTTGAGCTTGAGCTTGGGTCATATCATAAATGGATGTGCTGGCCATGTTCTGTTAACAAATGCCTAAGCTCATTTACACCCCTGTTCAAAACTTTCAAGCTTTTGGAAGAAAAAGTCAAGCTCATCCTTCACCTGCACTCCCCTTCTTCACTGGAATCCCAAAACAAAATCTAAAAGGATAAACAATTCTGTCAGTTCCCCTCATTTCAAGATACAAAATTCCAGAATGAAGCCACACTTTAGATATATATGATTTTTGGAATTCTGCCTTATCTGTTCCCAACTACAGTGTACCTCTTTCACCGAAGCAATATGCTTTTCAAGCGGCATATTCTCTTATGATAATTACATGCGGGCGGCAATAAATAAAATTTAACTCCATTTCACATTACACTCACTGTTCTTTCATAATATCCAATAAGCATGACAATCCATGACAGATTCTCAGGAACTTCTTTTTTCACTCCTGTACTAGGTTCATTTCATANAGGAACTTCTTTTTTCACCCCTGTACTAGGTTCATTTCATTTTAAGAGTACAACCAGAGTGTCTTTATATCTTCTTTAGGTAAGGCGTGGTAAGAAGTAAAAGCATGACCTCTCAGTAAGAAAATGCTTGTGAACCAAACTTCTTTGAGACCTCAAAGTAAAACTTCGTAGGTATTTCTAAACACATAACGTGATTAAAGCTAAATAGAGAGAATAAGGACTTCAATCAGCAAAGTAATTTCTCCAACCCCGCAATCATACAATTACTAAATATCTAGTAGAAAGGCTTTTGTCCAGCACCTTTGCCCTCTCCAAGTGTTTTGAGTAATGAGGTAGTGTACCTGCCAATGAATGCCCTTGATAATCCTTGAGGAAGTGACCGGGAAATAAATCTAGCTGTTGTCGGCCTTGCATTAATGGCAAGAAACTTCACCATTTGGGCAGAGCTAACTAAGCCCTGGATGAAAAGTACAAACTATAGTTAGACACATAATAGTGCAACTACATAACTACATTAAGCAAAGTAACTTGCCATTTCATAGGCTTGCCGAAACCCAGCTGGTAAATCCATCATTGTCTTCTGCCACTCATTTAGCACGGCATCAACAAATTTCCGATCAAATAACTGAAAATTATGAGAGATACAATATTGTTACTATTTTTTCCCCGTGAATTAACAGAAATTATTTCCATTTGCAGAAGCCTCATACCTCTTGGAGTATCATTCTTCTCCTAAATAGTCCACCCTCATCTCCCTCATCACCATCATCAAAGTCATCAAAGTAATCATCATCATCACCATTATCGTCACCTCCATCACCACCACCATGATTTAAATTCTTTCCCATATTTCCACCTCCTCCACCAGTCGAAAGCTGTGATTTTGTACGGCATTAGCCAATTTTTTCAACACCCAAAGAGTTACCAAATTGTACCACGAAATCTTAAGATCAGGCAAAACACAGAGAAACAGGTTCTTAATAGGTGGAATATTCTGTCATCATATAAAGCAAGCACATGCCAAATTCACACCATCTAGGCCAGTTGAAGCACATTAATTTTTCGCCCTGTTCTTTTCTCACTTTTCCATTTCATTGACAAAGGAGATGCTTTAGAACCAAAATAACAAAGAGATACATTTCATTAAAGCACATAAAACACATCTAGGAGCTTTAATTTGTTAGTGCTGGGTGCTGGATCCTCACACTTGCCAGTCATAAGTAAACAGCACCAGGAAACCCACACAACAAAACTCTTCAATCCAACAGAACATGTGGCAATGAAACAAACACATTTGCTCAGTGCTCACCTACATAGTTTTATCCTATAGCAAAAGCATTGTGTCTACACCTCCATGCTTTCTAGCAACATGTCTGAAGGAAAACCACAAGCAAATAACAAGATGAAACTAATCAAGAATACAACAACAGTTTCAGTTCCATTCGCATGGCCCAGCTTCACACCTCTGATTTTGATATAGGATTATTTCTGGAAAACTAGACACGCCTTAAAGAAGCTTTTGGTGCTCCAATAATAGTAAGAGATGAAAATTGATGTTCCTATAGACAAGTGTTTAATTATGTTCCTACAGACAATCTCAAAGTTTTGACTAAAATTTCTACTTTAACAAAACCTCTCCAACTCAACTATGAGTACCACACCGGAGCTTTCCCAACACCGGACACCATTAATGTTTTTCTTCCGCTTAAGTGATGAAAAGTGCCAAAAAGCGACAAGGTCTACGGGACTTGAAGCGAAAAGAGAGAAAGTGAAGCGCACGTTCCTTAGAAGTGAAATGAACAATATACGAAATAAGAAAAGTACAAATATAAATGAATTTAGAACTATAATAGTCCAATTGCAACTAAAGTAACTAATTACGTCCAATAAACAGCATTGTTGTTACTAAATCAACTCACCAAAAACATCAAATATAATTAGCATACAACAACATAACACCACTAAAGTCTCAATCCCAAGCTAGATGGTGTCAGCATATGAATCACCAATATCCATTTCATTCATTTGGGGGCCGTATTCAAATATTACTGACGCACTTACAAGCTGATATCCTTACAACATAGTTCACCAGAACTATGAGGAGACAACAATTTCAGCACAAATTTCATTCAAGAAAAGCCAAAAAGTAAAAGAAAATAAGGATAAAAGCTGCTAAAATCAATAATCTATTCACAAACCTCGGGGCTAGACTTGGTCTGTTTCTGGGTCAAATCAAGCTTCGATTTTTCCAATGTAACTGCACCTAAAGCACCGTATTTTCCCCCTTTCATTACCGGAGCGTACATTACCGAAGAGGATGACGACGGTGACGGAGAATCAATCGACGGTGACGCTTGAAAGCACCGCTCCAAACCGTCAATAGCGTCTCCGTCAATCGCTGGAGCAGTGGACGCCTTGATAACGTTAGTTTGACGGAGCTTCCCGGCGACCACTGGAGCTGGTCGACGGATAACTACGGCGGGAAATAAGGGTTTGGAGGTAGGGACAATTTGGGTATTTATGGGCATGAATTGAGCTGTTTGAAACACTGAGTGAGACATTTTTGTGATGATAATTCTTGAATCTTTAAGGTCTTTTCTTTCTCAAGTGTGTTTCTTATCTATGGAGAGCTTTTCATGGGTAAAATGGAGGAGGAAAATTTTCTCTCTCCAGAGAGGGAGGGAGAGAGAGAGAGAGGAGGAAGAGAAAGAAGGAATATCGACGGGAGTGTTGGGGGGTTTTGATAGAATGGCCGAGAGAGTCAAACCCAATCCAGAGAATGAGTCGACTCGGGCTGTCCACGGATCAACTCTGTCGAGCTCCTCTTGGCTACATCGAGTGTAAAACTAAAGACAATGTGTCAGTTTGAGTATACAATTTTTAAAAATTAGGTGAATATTATGTGTTTGATTTATATTAAAAAATAATAATTAAGAAAAAATTCCTGAAAATAACGAATATTATTTTTATATAGCTAGCTCAATAAATGAAGAAATCCTGTTTCACATGTCTTACTATGATTTATATGGATTTATATGAGATTATCGTATAGATATTATTGTTATTTATATGGACAATACTAAAAACAAAATAAATTTTTTGGTCACATTAAGATATTATAGTTAAAATATTTATCGACCTTTTTACCTTTTGAAGATAAAATTTACATTAAACAAGACTTGTAGTTTTTTTATTTTTAGGACCTTAAAATCAACAAATATTTTAGTAATTAATTTGTTTTTTAAAAAAATGATTAAATTTTTTACCACTTTTTAAATCTGTATACGGTTTAGATCGAAGTCGTGCCGTATCTATTGATTTATGATGAAAGTCAGAGTAAAAATATGAAGGGTGATGTCGTGTCGTTATTACTGTTTCACAGTGAGATTGAGAGCAAAAACACGAAGGGTGATGCCGTGCAGTTTTATTAAATGAATTTATTCATTTACTGTTTAAATGCTTATTGATTATTTCTTGTTATTATTCTCTGTTGTAGTTATCATATCTTGTACCCCTTTCGCATGTCCCCTCCCAATAGTACTTGTTTAGTCTTTAATTATTGTTATGTTGTACGTATACTGTTATCTGCACAGGTTTATTTACGTGGGTGTCCTGTCATAGCCTCGTCACTACCTCGTCGAGGTTAGACCAAACACTTACGGAGTATATTGGGTCAGTTGTACTCATACTACACTCTGCACTTCTTGTGCAAATTTTGGTACTAGTCCCAACTGTTCGTGAGGCGATTCAGCTCGGATTTGCTTTTGGAGACTTGAGGTAGATATGCTGGCGTCCCCAGACCTTGAAGTCTCCTTCCACCTTCCCCCTATTTACTGTTCTTATCATTCGAGACAGTTGTACTTATTTCAAACTATGTATGTAGAAACTCTAGAAGCTCGTGAACTTGTGACTCCAAATCCGGGTTGTACTTAGATATTTATTGATTTTTATGTCATTCTGCACTCAGTTTTAGTTTTATTTCGGCTTAATTAATTTTACTTATTGAAATTGATTAAAATTGGCTTATAGATCCTCTAACGTTGGCTAGCCTAGCAAGTGAAATGCTAGGCGCCATCACGATTCCGAAAGTGAAAATTCCGAATCGGGAGAGTAGTCTTACCGTTACCTGTTACCTTTCAAAGGTAAAGAGTCTATTCCCACCAAGTAGTGATAGAAATTGTATTCATCAAATGAGTCACAAAAAGTACACGGGTCAATTACACCGTGTGTACTATAAACACATATGCAATTGATAAAATGCATAGGTGCCATGCGACTTAAGTACAATAATTAAGAATGCACAAAGCTTAAGAACTGTACAAGATGTAATGATAAGTAATTCATGTAGTCATAATTTTGAATGTGTTTTAGAGGGTGTTTGGATTCACTTTTAAAAAGTAGCTTATAAGTTAAAAATTAAAAGCCATAAGTTGGTAATACCTAGCTTTTGAATTATTTTTATACTTTTCATGCCTAAAAGTAAATGTTTTAAAGCACTTTTTATTTTCCAAACACCACAAAAACTAAAAAGTATTTAAAAACCAATAAACACTTAAAATGAGTCAATCCTAACACCCTCTTAAAGCAATATTATAAGAGCAATATTCTCCTCATGTGAGGAATCTCTACATGTTAGGAAATAAAAAAGCTAAATCGCAAGCGCTGAATGTGTTTTCATCAATTGCACTTGAAGTATACAGACTCTACAAATGATTAGATTATGCACACAACAAAACTCATTCATCCATTGAGAGGTCGAGCCTTTCAGAATTAAGTTTTATAAACCTCATTTGATTGAGCTAACACCACTTTCAAAACGGCTTGTTGTATTGGTCCAAATTTGGCAACCACGACAACAACTAAGCGAGGCTTGGGACGAAGTCACTACAATACAACAACGATTGACGGTCGTTGTGGCAAAGGATTGACGGTGTTGTACCTTTTAGGATTTTTTTGGGGGAATGTCCCTTATAAATAGGAGGAAATAGTAGACAAAAAGGGGATCTGCCCTTTTCGAGAACTGAGAGATATTGTAAGATTGAGAAAAGAATATATAAGGAAGTTGTCTTATTCATAGCATCCATATACTTGTTGTTCATCATTTATCTATAGATCACAAGATCCCACTTAGACATTAAATGCTTTCCACTCCACGTCGCCAGAAAAAGGAAACGCCCAATCATATAATCATTGGGTGACTATTCTTCTATACCACAATTCCTGTTATTTCTTGCATTTATTACACGTTTATGATATTGTACATCTTGTCAATCATAGCATATTAAGTTCTCCATTTAATGCTTATAAACGCTACTTGTAAGCACGTGATTTTTGCTTCACGGACAATCGCTCCAAAAGAAAATAAAAAATAGTGACA